AGAAATATTATTCAAATACAAGATAGAATAATATCAAATTAGAATATATTTAGACAAGATTTTTATAATAAAATAAACATCAAATAAATAATTATATTAAATATTTATTTTCTTATATAATATTTATTTTGTTTAAAAAATTATATCATTTCCATAAATAATATTTATATTATGTAAATTATGAAATAAATATCTTTTCTCGTTTTTCAAATCAATCTATATTCATTTAGATTTCAAGGTTCAGCATACTTGAAATACATATATTTAGAAAAACAATTTGTAAGACATTTAAACGCGCCAAATCAATGTATCATACAACGCTATAACAGCTGTACATATATATAATACAACGAAATTGAAAACAAAACAGTATGCAAACAAGCGTTCGTAATCTGAGTGTGAGAATATATATGTAGATAGTAGTTTAGCATGATTACATCTGCTAAATCAATAATAAAATTACAAAATTAAAAAATTATATTAATATAAAATATATTGTAAAATTAAAAATGATATCTATATGATGAAATGTCATGAGTTAGCTACGCATTTATAATGATTCATCAAGAAATCACTTAAAACTTACTGCATTTTACAGACAGTAGCTTTCTCTTTACAGACGTGTACTCTCGAAATGGAAATTATGTTTGACACCTATTCTAAAGTTGAATAACACATGCGAACCTCTTACTTTCCCTTCTGTTTTTTTCACCACTTGACCGAATATGATTGAATCAAGATCTGCTTGCGTTACCAGCTACACCAATCCATTCTTATACACTCAAACACAGACAAGGTATAAAATAGATTTACAACCTTACGAAATTTCTGTATCATGTTCTGAAATACCGATTGCAAAAATAAAATCAACATTAAAAATAATTTTTTTAGTATTTTTAAAAAGACTATTCTCATACATTAAAAATCAATAAAATAAAATAGATATTAGAGTCATTTTTTATAAATTTATAAAATTGTAAAAGAAATATAGACAAGAACAAATAATGAGAAAAAAACAAAGAAAAAAATTAAACAATCAGTGCTATTTTTAGAGATGAAACAAATATAGATAAAGAAAATACATGTAAGACAATAGAGATGTGATCTCGACTATCAATACTATTTCTTAAGTATTAAAGATCTTCAAAGACATAAATTAAAGAAGGAATTGAAATTAGCATCAGTTGGATTAAAAGCATCTTTCTAAAAATAAAATCTCAAGAGATGGCGCTAATCTTAAATTCTTACTTTATTTTTTCTATTATTGAAGAAATGTCTTTGAATCTTAAGAGATGGTACTGATAGTTAATTTTTATCTTTTTATATCTTTTTCTATTATATATTCTTATTATTTATGTTTTATTTGAAGATGATAATAATTCCAATTTTTAACCTATTTTTATCCTTTTTTCACTATTTATTCTTTTTGTCTATATTTGCTCCTCTGCAAAATTAATGTGTTCAAAAGATGACTTCGATATTTTATTAATGAACTTTATTATCTTCTTTGCCTAATCTATTAACTAAAAATTTTAACACTTTAAGTGAAATTATATATTGTAATAGATAAATATTCTGATATAAATTTGACAATTCGGCGACAAATGTGAAATTGGTTTTAGAATCTTTTTAATAATTATACTTTCAATATAAAAGAATACGTTCAAGTCGCTATTCATTTATCATTTATAATAAAAAAAAATAAATGAATGTAATATTGAAAATGATATTAAAATGATAAGACTCTTAATGCTCCGAAATATAGAATAAAAAAAATATATTGAATATTTAGATCTATTTTCTACCTTGTTTGTGGTTTTATCACATTTGAAACAGAGTTAATTCAAACTGAATGTCCTTCGAAGATGACGCTGCGAACATCTTCATTGTGGCTCCACCTTTAGGATAAAGAATTTATTAGTTCCATGGAAACGTACGATAACAGTTTATAATAGTTGTTCCAATTATAAAATTCATTTAAACAAAAATAACGCATTATTCTTCAATAATGTTAAAAAAATATCGTTATTGCTATGCAATTAGTAAACCTAACCTCTCCAATATTTGTATTCTGCAAAATTGGTCATGGGGTACTTGATCATGGATTGTGTATTCGCGCATGATCAGACAGAATATAAATCTTTTCGTGTCAAAAAAGTTTCTTTATTGTGTGTATATCTTAAACGATAGTGTTATTTGTGAAAGCGTCGAAAATATAAACAAACTATTTTACACATTATTTTTAACATTTTGCGTTATTTTCGTTTTGCTTATTGTCGACTCAAACAGTTAGTATGACTATCGTCGAGGTTTGTTTTCGTGTGAAAAGACGATTCGCTGTGCTCAAAGTTATGCATTGTCGTTTGCACGGCTGTATTTATTTAACATAGCTAAATACTCGTTTGTCATAAAGTTTTTTCATAGATTTCGATAATACAGAAATGCGAGCTACAAATCATATTCATCGTGACGCGATTGAGTTTTATTTACATGCAGACTAAGCTGACAAGCATAAACATGGCCGTCGTGCTTTGTGATGATTACTTGTGCCAGTTTGAATTCAAAGAAGTCCTGCGAGAACGGAAATAATGGATGGAATGCATGCATCCAAGATATCCAGGTAATAAGACACTTTCGTCCTTTTTAAACATTCTCAATGCTCTGCGATTATAGTTCACTTCGATTATGTATTTTGATTTTATCGTGCATCACGAAGATATATTTGCACGTACGTTATTGGATATGTGTTCTTTCTTTTTGTTTTTCTCTATTTTTTCTTCATGTAATCGCAGAGGTGATTGAACTTACTAGACATACGTCATACGCATTGTTAACACGTAACGCGATCGCAATCATAGCTCAGCTGACTACTATTGACCTATTGATGTGTTTCTGTCAGTAGTTTTCTGGGCTGTTTTGTAATGGAATTACTGTATGCTTTGGCTTTTTATTTTTCCTCATATAATGTTTTTTCGTTTCATCGAATTAATATTTTTTTAGAGCATTATATGTTATATTTATTAGAATAATATGTCAGTTTGATTTAATTATACTTTTATTTATTAAGTGATTTATTTTGTAATATAAGAATATTTTAATAATGAATATAAATCTATATATAAATATATGTAATATATAATTATAGTTGCTAATTAGTGTTTAATTTCCATTATCTTTTTATAAAAATTATATTATATTTTCAAGAGTTAGTTATCTATTTTATTTATCTTATATTATTTGATACATAAAAATTAATGATATAATAAATGTAAAAATTATATATAAAAGATATGTTAATTTTAAAATTGTTTTCAATTATGTGTTACATATTTTTTAAGATTATATTTTTTTGATATATGATATTGAATTCATATATAATATTATTTTGATTTATTTTGATATTTTGGTTTGCTTATGCTTCAAATTTATATATAAGCATGTTTAAAAAATATATATTGAATGTATTTTATAACAAAAATATGAAATGAAAAGACAAATGACACTAATTAAATAGTGAAAGTTATGAAATCTAATGAGAATATAATGAATAATAAAGAATATTTAAAGTTATATTTTTCTTTTATATTATTATTCATGTTAATAATATATAAATATATAAATAACATTAAAAACTATATATTTAAAATTTCATGTTAAATTTTATTAATATTTTAGGATAGGATAGTTTTTATTATTTATATAGCATAATGATATTTTTTTCTTAAATATATTATATTTTATTCTTTGTATATAAATTAAATTGATTATTAAAAATCATATTTAGATATTTATAAATATTATTAAGTTTATTTTTAAATATATATTAAAATATTTAAATTTCAAAAAATAAAGATTATGAAAGATACTATATTTTTTTTTATTTCTATTTTTATTAAAATATTATATAATATTTAAAAAAATGTTTGTGAAAAATAAGAATTAATAATTTTTCTTGAATTTATATATATTGTACTTTAATATTTTCTTAAATAAACATAGTGTTACATTCAATATAATAAATATATATGATTATCATATGAGATTCACATATTTTATGGTATTATATTTGCAATAATTAGTTTCATCACATAATCATATTTTGTCATCAAAGTTATCAAATAAAGATTATAATTGTATTAGTGTAGTTGTGACATTATACATAAAATAAAAAAAAACTAGTTCAAAAAAGTCACAAATACATCAATATATCACTTTTCTGTTATCAAGTCATTTTAAATATCCATTATCCATTTTATTGCACTTGCCTGTAAACAATTATTTTTGATAGAAATTAATGCTTAATTATAATAAATAAGCTTTCGCAATAGATCAGGCAATTAAAAGAAATTTTTTAAAAGATCTTAACTTCCAGAACAGCTTAATAAAATAATTCTTGATAAGATTATTACTACAATTATGTGTTATTCAACATCTGATGATTTTCAAAAATTTGTTCCTTTCAAGCGTCGATAATTTCGTCGGAAATGGATGAAAAAAGTATCGAGAATTGAGCGTATCCATTTAAAAGGCGCTTCCGAATTCAATGCAGTGCACTTTCTAGGTAAATATTGTATGTTGGCTAACAAAGTGAAAGTTTAAGATGCGATAAACTTTCATTATTTTTACGTAAATCATTTCGATATATATTTTTTCGATATTTTTATTTTTTCTTATAAATAAAAAAATAGAATAACACATTAAATAATAAAAAAACATTCTTTAAATATTTAAGTTTCTTAGATAGTGAATTTTGAAATAAATTTTAGACGATAAATTTTATAATTATTAAAAATTTCTAAAATTAATTTTTCAGGTAATAAATAGAATCATGCATGGTAAAAATTTTGTTTATTTAAAAAATCTGTATTTAATATATTTAATATATTTGACATTATTGCTTTAAAATATTGATCTTGAAATATGTTAATTTTGAATATTAAAATTATATAGATGAAAACATTATTACAAATGAGAAAACACATCGAAATTGATACTTGTTTTCGAGTAAATCAAATGATTTTTCTTGAGTTGTTATTTTTTTCTTTTTACATTATAATTTAAGATTTATTTATGTATTGTATAATCGCATATTTGGTCAATGTTTAAAGTGACCTGTTTGCGTGAACTCAGATAAGAACAGAAAAAAGTTTTATACATTGATAAAACATTTATTCATTACAAATATATAAACTTTTACATAAATATAATATTGTTGAATAAAAAGTCTTTTCACATAATATTTTGCCTTTTATCTTTAAAATATTTTTATATAATTTATCTATTTGTACAATATTTTTAAAAGTTAAAAAAAAATTAAATTTCTTATTTTAATTTATTATAATTATAATAATTATTATATAATATTATATAATAATTATAATTATAAAATGTTAATTATAT